TTCTTACGAAAATCAATTGAGGATGTTGAGTTTGTCAGTGCAATAGGTGAAGTGTCATAGTTGATTTGCCACACTGTGAGTCTATTAAATAAGCTGATTTCGGTCAAACTGAGATTTGATCCAAGTTAAAACACCTTGTTGTATAGGCGATCGTTGCTCTGGTGGACAAGGAGTTCTCGGGCGAAATCAACACTTTTGATCCTCATTTGTGTTCAGAGGGCATCTCTTTTCCCGTTGTGAAAACGGTTGCTAACTTGGCTTCGTCGCTTACTCGGTTTGATAGTATCGATTACCTTCGTCGTTTACTCGTTTTGATAGTAACGATAGATATGATGGCAATGAGTGTCATGGATTCGCCTCAATGTCCTTCATGAATATTCATATAAGAGATGCACATCCGAAATACATACCGTAATATCTTATGCATGACGATGTATTCGGCATGATTGAATGGTGGTAGATCAGTGAATATACGATGAGGATCAATAGAGAAGAGTTATTGGGGCGACGAGAGGTACGCCTAACAGACTTCTTGCAAGCAGACTGGAAGTTGATCGTCACTAATGAGAAGCCCCCATTCACAAGTTACTCAAGCATATCAACATGTAGAACTTATTAGTTGCAACAGTGAATACATGCCAGACTTTGCCCGCACAAAGAACGCAGCTAAATTATACCCCCGCGAATATGCGGTGAGAGTTATTCAATCGCCTCTAGCCATCAGCTAATAGCTATTGTGATTCACTGTCTATAAAGTGATCACTCTATTGTTATAGTGCATTCAGTTAGTGGGTAGATCTCGAGATTGAGTTCTCCGTGTCGTTTGAAATCTGAAGAATTGATATGTTTCAGAGAGCGATGCTTCCAATTCCTCGCGAATTATAAGGAATTGATGGATGGTGTACAGATGCTGTCTTCAGTTATTTTCCGTTATTACGTGCTAAACATGTCAGTGACGTTAACACTCGCTATTGCGCTTGTCTCATACTTCAGCGTGTCCTTGTCTACGGCAGAACAGGTTGTTCTGGCTGCTGAAGCTTCTGGAATTCCGGATTGCACGGAAGCTGATGCTTACTGTGCCTCTATCATCCCCGGGTCCTATTGTAAGTATTGGAGTACTCCTAGTGTTTGCCAAAGTGATCGACGTTTGACTGAGGGCTCTGGAAAGCGTCAACTTTGGGAAAATGTCAGATGTGATTGTCTATGGGCTACCACCACTACTCCGGCTACCACCACTACTCCGGCTACCACCACCACTACTCCGGCTACCACCACCACTACTCCGGCTACCACCACCACTACTCCGGCTACCACCACCACTACTCCGGCTACCACCACCACTACTCCGGCTACCACGACTACTTCCAGCATTCCGGGTTGTCCAGAGGGTGATGCTTACTGTGCGTCTATTATGCCCGGATCTTATTGCAAGTACTGGAGTACTCCTAGTTACTGCCAGAGCGATCGACGCTTGAGAATGGACTCTGAGACGCGTCAGCTCTGGGAGAGTATCCCATGTGATCGTACTTCGACTCCTCCGACTACTACTACAACTCCGACTACTACCACAACTCCTCCGACTACTACCACAACTCCTCCGACTACTACAGCAACTCCTCCGACTACTACAGCAACTCCTCCGACTACTACTAGAACTCCCACAACTACTACCGCAACTGCTACGACCACAACCACTACTGGGGTGTTGGATTGCGTGGAGGCTGATGACTACTGTGATTCTATCATGCCCGGATCGTATTGTAAGTACTGGAGTACTCCTAGTGTCTGTCAAAGTGACAGGCGTTTGAGCGAGGGCTTTGAAGCGCGTCAGCTTTGGGAGACTATTCCGTGTGAATGTGTCTGGTCTACTGCCATCAATATGGCTGGTGAGTAGTTTATGTTCTAGTTTGAAAGTCATATTTTAATTTCATTTCGTTGTAGAGTAGCCCGACAAGAGCTACGCGTCTTGGTGGAACTCACCGGTTGAATGGCACGATGAAACTAGGTCTTTCAACAATTTACTAATTGTTCAATTTGAGTAGTTGAGTTTGTCAGGTTGGAACATGTAGATCAACAACTGTTGTGTTGTATGCTGGAGATTTACCTCGTGAATTAATCCAGAGTAGATCCAAAAAGATGTTTATTAATGTAATGGGCATTGATTTCTTACATTCACAGGTTTCTAAACCCTGTGTTATTCACCACTTCATCTATTCATGTTCTTTCAGGCAGGTTAGATATGTGAATGTCTAATACTTCATCCAAATTATTGGTGTTTAGTCGATGAAACTCACAAACTCATTCAACACTTCGCGAATTATCAGCGTCGAGAGGAGCTTATCTAAACGCGTCGCGTTTAACAGGATGCGTGGTGAGATGGTGCTAGTTGCGTTCGAACTCGACTGATCGGCAGACTTGTACTTTTACGATCAACTCCATAGAATCGTTGATTCGTCGAGAAACAAAAACCTTCTCTCTCAAGGCCACTGTAACGTATAAGCCATATAGTTTGAGGTTCCACTTTTCAGCTGCTCGAGGTTCATGACACACCCAAACAACCGATGAACGCGACCTTCCAATATGCTGTGTATCAGCATATGAACTCATGGAGCTCAACTCTAAGGGTCTGCACTCATACGGGTAGCTCCAAAGGACATTTCTTCACAGAAGGGTGCTCCAATCAGGCTCGCTAGTATGTGTGATGAAGTGATCCACTCGACTCTAGCCATTAGCTAATAGCTATTGTGATTCGTTGTCTAAAGTGATCACTCTATTGTTATAGTGTACTCAGTTGGTAAGTGAAATTCGAGGGGGTTTCTGTATAGCATTAGTAACTTGATAAGTTTGTAAGCTTTAAAGGTTGATGTTTTCTGTTCCTCTCATCTTGGAGGGAAGTGTTCCATGGTGTACGTTTATTGTCTTCAGTTATTTTTTGTTATTACGTGCTTAGTATGTCAGTGACGTCAACACTTGCTATTACGCTGGTCTCATACTTCAGCGTGTCCTTGTCTACGGCAGAACAGGTTGTTCTGGCTTCTGAAGATTCGGGTTGTCCTGTCGGTGATGCTTACTGTGATTCTATCATGCCTGGATCCTATTGCAAGTACTGGAGTACTCCTAGTTACTGCCAGAGCGATCGACGTTTGATAGAGGACTCTGAGACGCGTCAGCTCTGGGAGAGTATCCCATGTGATTGTACCACAACTCCTCCGACTACTACCACAACTCCTCCGACTACTACCACAACTCCTCCGACTACTACCACAACTCCTCCGACTACTACCACAACTCCTCCGACTACTACCACAACTCCTGCGACTACAACGACTGCAGCTCCACCATCTACAACTGCTTCCAGCGTTTCGGAGTGTCCTATTGGTGATGCTTACTGTGATTCTATCATGCCTGGATCCTATTGTAAGTATTGGAGTACTCCTAGTTACTGCCAGAGCGATCGACGTTTGATAGAGGATTCTGAGATGCGTCAGCTCTGGGAGAGTATCCCATGTGATTGTACCACAACTTCTCCGACTCCTACCACAACTCCTCCGACTACTACCACAACTCCTCCGACTACTACCACAACTCCTCCGACTACTACCACAACTCCTCCGACTACTACCACAACTCCTCCGACTACTACCACAACTCCTCCGACTACTACCACAACTCCTGCGACTACGACCACAACTCCTCCGACTACTACCACAACTCCTCCGACTACAACTTCACCGTCTACAACTGCTTCCAGCGTTTCGGAGTGTCCTGTTGGTGATGCTTACTGTGATTCTATCATGCCCGGATCCTATTGTAAGTATTGGAGTACTCCTAGTTTCTGTCAAAGCGATAGGCGTTTGAGCGAGGGCTCTGAAGCGCGTCAGCTTTGGGAGAGTATTCCATGTGAATGTATTTGATCTTTCGCTAGCAAGGTTAATGCTGAGTAGTTTATGTTCAACTAATGGTTCAACTTTTCATTTTAATCTCATATCTCTCAACTCAACTCTTGAAGTAGTAGAGTCTTACATCCAGGATGTTCTGACAATTTAGTAATTTCCATATCTGGCTTGTTGGGTCCGTTAGTGTATGGGGTAGGGGGTTGCACAGTCGACTGATATAGACCAGTGAATATTTGATAGTCTTGCGGTGCAATAGAGCAGTGTTATCGGAATGACGAGGGGTACGTATGAGAGATTACTTGCGAGGACACTGGAATATAATCGTCATCAACGAGGAATCCTCGTCCGCTCTGTCACTTCGCCATTTCATTTGGTCAGCTCCCACTGGAAGCCTTCCAGGGTTAATGTTATCGCATACAAGGCTACCAGAGGAATCATTGACCTCAACATAAAAGTTTTCGCCCATTAAAGTTGGAGTATTTGTTACATGTTTACTGTGAGAGGGCTATTATGAGTATCATGTTAAGCAAGTTCGAAATGTCTCATGAGTATTTCCGCTGATCAGACTGATGCTGTTGCACAGGATAGGGTTTTGCGTTGACACGAAGGACCATCGAATGACTTGGATTACAATCTCTGTGGTACTGGTATCAGGGATTGCGCCCCTTATCACAATGAAATATCCACTTTTGTTAAGGGCACATTCACGATCCTGAATGGGCGTCGTCCTCTGTCCCCCGGCGCAAAGCCTGCTGTATCGTAGCCACGGCTAGCCTCGAGGATACCAGGGGCTGTCAGTCAGTCAACAAAACTCATCGTCAAATGAGATCTTCAATGCTCTTCAATCAGTTTTTCCATTGATTGTGTAGGAATGCTTTCATTCGTCTTGGTCCTCTTGGCCTCGGTTGGCTTGAGTAGAGCCGTCCTGTCTGCACCTCGTGATCGTCTAGATCATGATCACTGCACAGCTACTGCTGTTGATTGTGCCGCTACCGCTGATGGTGGGTGCATTGCTGCGACAAGCGCTGATGGAAGTCCTCTCGACTTCCGAATGGTCCCACCTCTCCCGAACAAAAGCCCAGTGTACCTATCGGTTACATTGACATGCCGGAAGGGACGACTTACGGGTATTGGGATGCCGCTTATGGTGTTATGAATGAAGCCGGTTTATCGATGGGTGAGAGCAGCTGCAGTGGACGTTTGAGTTCTGTTCCGAAGGGAGACGGCCCGAACGGTAGCGGCGCCTTGTTCTGGGTGGGTGAATTGTCTGATATCGCCCTCGAGGTCTGCTCCACTGCTAGATGTGCCATACAGACTATGGGTAAGCTCGCTGAGGAGCATGGCTTCTACGGTTCTATTGGCGTTCCACAGAGGCTGGCGAGGCATTAACAATCGCCAATGGTACCGAGGTATGGGTATTCCATATTCTACCTGATGATACCGCTGAAGGTGCAGTGTGGGCTGCTGAAAGAGTCCCCAAAGGCCATGCTACCATCGTCCCGAATGTCTTTGTTATTCGAGAGATCGATCCAAGTGATGGTGACAACTTTATGTTCTCTGACAACATCTTCGATATCGCTTTGAAACTTGGTTGGTGGAATGGTGAGGGTCTTCTGGACTTTACTGCCACGTATAGTGTCAGCGAGTACAACAATCCTTATTACTCCGGTCGTCGTGTGTGGAGAGGTCTTTCCCTTTTCGCCCCTTCGCTCAATCTCGATCCAACTCTTGGTGTCGAATGGGATCATCCAACCTATCCCTTCTCAGTGGAGCCAGATGTACCCGTTACCATTGACTTTATGAGGCGCTTCTACAGAGATCACATGGAGGGAACTGCGTATGACCTCACTGATCATGTCGTTGCTGGTGGTCCCTTCA